ATAATGAAATGCGAATGATGAATTCAATAATAAAAGAGGAATTTCAGATAAAGGCGAAGTCACAAACTTGTTAAAGAAGGTAAGCAAAATTCCCAGCGTCGGTTAAGAGACAAGATCTCGTCTGAACTAGTGGCAGGTAAAACTGCTGGGAACCGGAGAAAACGAAGTGCTTCTCCTGTCACGGAAGGGAATCGCCCTGATTTTCAGAGACAATCAGCCAAGTAGCACCCGAATGTGTTCGATGAAAGTTTCGTTCAAGTTCAGAGTTTCATAGTTTCAACATTCCATGAACGTCTTTGGGAACGTTCTATTGAACGTTTGATGTTCAAAAATTTGGAGAGATCATAAACAGTTCAAAATATACGTTCATGAATGACGTGAATTGGATATTTCCATAAAAGGGTTCGATTATTTATTTTTATTTCAAGTCCTCCATCACACCTTCGCTTCACGCCATTCCTCCTTTCAAGTCCTCCATCACACCTTCGCTTCACGCCATTCCTCCTTCCAAGTCCTCCATCACACCTTCGCTTCACGCCATTCCTCCTTTCAAGTCCTCCCTCACTGGGTCCATCGCTGGGAATTTTGCTTACCTTCTTTAACAAGTTTGTGACTTCGCCTTTATCTGAAATTCCTCTTTTATTATTGAATTCATCATTCGCATTTCATTATTTTAGTCTCAGTCATTTCACTTGTGTCTTCTATGGGAGTTTCATGTTTTTCTTCATCCAATCCTTTCGTTCTTTCTCCTTCACATTTTCGTTTGCCTATTCTCCATCACGTGAAGCACTTTCATCTCCCCTCGCATCGTTTTCCTCCGCAGGAAGCGGCGGCGAAGCTGTGCGTGATGACCCAGCTGGGCTTCGTCCAGAATTCCCTCTTCTCCATGCGGAACACATTCAGCTTCTACACTACTTCGATCATCGTCCGTGATCGCATCTCTCTCTCGAAAAATTGAATCATGAAAAAAACAGGTTAAATGAAAATGTGATCCGTTTCCCTCAGTTCACGACATCCGTCACATCCTGCGTGACGGATATTATATTAACCTGATTAACTAACCCAATATTAACCTAATCCCTTCTGATTTCCATGAAATTTGCGGAGCTTGTAGGAGAGATTGAAAAATTTGAAGATATTTTTTGTTCCTTCGAAAAATTACCATGTCAATTTCGTCTGCAAGAGTAAATTTCGACGTGGGACTGCCATAGGACAAGGAGTTACAAACAATAGAACGATAGCAGGCAGATGATGAAAATCCCATTACAATTGCGAAAAAAAAGCAAAAACTTCCAGCGTCGGTTAAGAGACAAGAACTCGTCTGAACAAAAATTCAAAAATTTGGAGCGATCATAAACAGTTTAAAATATATGTTCATGAATGACGTGAATTGGATATTTCCATAAAAGGGTTCGATTATTTATTCATATTTTTTTTCAGGATTCATCCAATATGCAAATAACGTCTTACATTTGTTCTTAATTACTAAAATGGAATTAAGTCTAATTACAGCCCTGCTCGCGTGCCTGGGGTCAGAAGCCATAATGCAAGCGATTTGTCTGGTTGACAAATTCCATTGTCTCACGGGGAACCGTCGGCCAATCCAGTCATACTACAGAAACTTTCATCTCATCTGCAGTTTATATTGAGGGGTCAGACACGAACTTTCACTGAAGCCACTTTTCATACATTTTCATGTTTTCCCTATCCCTTTCATTTCCTATGAAGCCCACTTGGAAGAATACGGACATTTTAGCCACGTTTAGAGGTGGTAAATCAGATATTTGGTAAATAGAGAAAGCACAATTTCCCATTGCAACGCAAATCCATTCGCGAATTCATCACGACACAAATTCCCCTTCCAGGGAAAATCAAGGTAAAAAAAGACACAGTCGCTGGCAACCCCTGGCAACCCCCCCCCCCCCTCGGCCCTGCTATATCAGTTTTGCATGCCGTTCTTTTTAGGGACGTCTGAAAGACAACCACAGCGGCAAAATGAAACTGACAAGATGAAGAAAGTGCGCTGGGTCGAAATGACATGAGCAAAAAAAAAAAAGGCGCTGGGTCGAAATGACATGAGCAAAAAAAAAAAAGGCGCTGAGATCGTTAATTAAAGTAATATTCTGGCGTTCCTCATTACTGTTTGAATGAAATAGCAAATCTCTGGCCGATTTGGGTCAAGGTCATTTCGATCACGCCGACCGCTTTTGTGACTGCGTTGATTTTTTATTTCTTTCGTCGCAAGTTTGTTTATTTTCTTCATCCCACCGAAGGTCGTAGAAGCGATCGGTTGATCTCGGATGATCTCGGATGATCTCGGATCACCTCGTATGATCTCGGATGGGATTATCGTCGAGGACTTTCGAAGAGCTGCCTGGAATATTCGGAAACGCACACGGGAAGGAACCTTCCAGAATGATGGATGCTCATAAACAGTCGCCGGATCTTGGTAATTGGAATCACGCGTGCATCCTCACGAAATTCCGTCGCACGCTCCATCAACAACTTAATCTGCGGCCTTGCGATCGATCAACGACTTAATCTGCGGCCTTGCGATCGATCAACGACTTAATTTCACCCGTAAACAGGCTGGGCGAGGGATCCCTTCATCGCGCATTGAGAGAGATGAGAGACTCTAATGAAGGTCAATCCCCACGTTCCGAGAATATCTCCCCATTGACATTGACATTGACATTGACAGTCCTACCACTCCAATCCTGCGACTGAACGCGGAACTGCGTCGCATTCCCCGACCCATACACAACCCCGATCTCGTCCCCGCCCAGCCCCAATTCCTTTCCGGCTTCTCTCGCGATGAATTTCTTGTTCGGTGCGGCTTTCCTTCTCGTCCTCGTCCGGGTCGACGCCGCCCGAGGTCAGATTCAAACATTCAAACATTCAAACGCCTTTCTTTTCATTGGGTCTGATTGTGCTGTGAATAATTCCTCTTTTCAGACTGGGAAGAGGACGGGCCTCTACGTGAGTCACAATAATTTCCCACACTGATTAAAATTGGCAGAAATGAATAGGTCACCAGTCTTGTTGCATCACTTTTCTCACCAACTGAGATGGTGTATTTTTTGTTCGTGTCTCGTCAGATGGAGCGGGATGTTATGGAGCCCTGGTGAAGCATCGAGTAAGCCCTTAGAATCTCGATTTAGCTTGACGTCTCGGATTTGCAATGAAAAACGGACTGGTCTCTTCCGTCAGAGCTCGGGGTCGCTCCGCACCGCGATGAGGATCTGCCGCCAGTCGGCGACCACGACCACGACCACGGGGAACCCGAACGGCGACTCGGTCCTGGACGGGGAACTGCAGCGGGAGATCCTCAGTTTCTACCACAGGCTCAATTATGCCAACAACACGGCCGCAAGTGAGACTGAATCCTTTCACTTTTACTGTACTTTCTTTTTGCAATTGTTTTTGCACATGGAAGCTCCCCTACTTTCTGCATGTATTCCTCCCTCACACCTTCGCTTCACGCCATTCCTCCTTTCAAGTCCTCCCTCACACCTTCGCTTCACGCCATTCCTCTTTTCAAGTCCTCCATCACTCTTTCGTTTCATGCCAATGTTCCAACCACTCTTCATTGCTTCCGTTTACTCGTGCATTTTGCCGTTTCGTGAAAAGGCGGTATTCTATGAATTGGAGTCATTTTCAGATGCTTTGCTTGGTATACAATTGTCTCCTTTTTTTACTCAGAGAATGTGGCCGGGTCCATCGCTGGGAATTTCGCTTACCTTCTTCAACAGGTTCGTGACTTCTCCCTTATCGGAAATTCCTCTTTTATTATTGAATTCATCATTCGCATTTCATTTGTTTTAGCATTTTAGCATTCGCATTTGTCATTTCACTTGTGTCTTCTATGGGAGTTTCATGTTTTTCTTCATCCATTCCTTTCGTTCTTTCTCCTTCACATTTTCGTTTGTTCTCCATCACGTGAAGCACTTTCATCCCCCCCCCCGCGTCGTTTCCCTCCGCAGGAAGCGGCGGCGAAGCTGTGCGTGATGACCCAGCTGGGCTTCGTCCAGAATTCCCTCTTATCCATGCCGAACATACTCAGCTTCTACACGACTTCGATCATCGTCAGTGATCGCTTCTCTCCCTCTCTCGAAAATTATGAAAAACAGGCTAAATGAAAATGTGATCCGTTTCCGTCAGTTCACGACGGCCGTCACATCCTGCGTGACGAATGCCAACGCAGTGACCGGTGACATCTCGGCAAAGGCAAGAGCTTTCATTTATTTTCGTTTCCAACTCGGGCCTTGGTGCTTCGGTTGCATGAAACTTCTATAATTTTCAATTGCTTTCACTCGTAATTTACCATCGATATTTTCATTACACTTCAAGTTAAATTATAAATGTATTGTGCGTTCCCATCTAACAGGCGGCGGTCTTCTTCCCGTGCTGGGACGGGAAAGTCGCCGAAGTGTCCACCAGCGGCGACTGCGAACACGACGAACGCGGATGGCGGGGAAGAGGCGGGTTCAGTCGCGGGTTCGCCTGAACGTCCGCGGACGCCGTCGGTGCCCATCGAATCGCTTCCGCCGGTCGGAAATTGTACATTAATTAGCGTTGAGTATATGTGTGACCTTCTGCAGCTGATTGTCGATGACTCATTCCATCTAAGAGAACACAAAATTATTTAAATTCCTTCGTGACCATCCTTCGCGGTAGTATAATGAGCTTGAGCCGATGATTTGTCGTCGGCAATGGCACATATAGAAAGTCTTGAATGGTCCAAAGGACCATCCAAAGGACCAAAGGACCAAAGGACCAAAGGACCAAAGGACCATATGGGGACTATCAATCTTCGCACATGGCATAGAGTATTAATCGGAGTTGCTGCGTCAATGCCTGGTTCATGTCAAAACAAGTACCATTCTTCGAACATCCGGGATACGAGTGCACTTCATCAATTTTATGTAATCCAAGGCAATGACGCAATTTGAATGCGTAATGCGTCTGGATTGGCCCTTACGGAAAAATCCAATAGGATCGCATACAATTTTTGAATAATAAAAATCTCAAAGGATTCATACAGAACTCCTTCAAGAATTTTATAGGAATTTCATGTTTCAAAAATCGCATAGGATCCTATGGGATCTTCTCGTAACTTCTCCAAATGTTACAGAAAGTTTCAATCCATGAATATATTAAGCTTACCAAGAGCGACTGCTCTCTCAAAGAGATGGAACTGAGGCTCTCAACTGAGGCTCTCAACTTGAGGCTCTCAACTTGAGGCTCTCAACTGAGGCTCTCAACTTGAGGCTCTCAACTGAGGCTCTCAACTGAGGCTCTCAACTTGAGGCTCTCAACTTGAGGCTCTCAACTGAGGCTCTCAACTGAGGCTCTCAACTTGAGGCTCTCAACTGAGGCTCTCAGCGCACTTCTTCGTTGCTTCCAATGGCACCTCCAACATCCAAGCTGTCTTCGCTTTCCGCGAAAGGGAATGCTCCTAATTCCCGTGCACGTGATTCTCCTCACCTGAAAAATATACTGCATTTTTCAATGGGAAAATTTTCGACTGAGCGATGTCCAACAATCCGTTGTATCCTTGCGGGTCAATCACGTGGAAAATGCGAGACGCAAGGGTCATTTCCTTCTGCAATCACGCCAATTTTGTCTGTATTGCTGTCGAGGCAGGCCGAGCCGAAATGAATTGCAGCTTCCGCCCAATCCCCGTGAACCTCGACGGACGTTTGTCATTTATAATTCACAGACTGAGGTTTAGATCTCGTCCAATGCACAAACACGATACACATTAACACTTCGCATAGAGTAACCTGGGGGAATATGGCCTTTGGGGTAATCGGGCCCCTCACAATGAATCCCTTAACCGAATGAATAATTAGTTTGGGAGAATTTTGAAAATAGTTCTATCGAAGAGTGCATGCAATTGTTGAAATGCTTCGACCTGTTCATTGATCCAGTTCTCACTGGAATTCGGGATACATCGATTTCTTGCATGCGATTCTTCAACTCTTCAACTCTGAGACTCTGAAACTAATATGGGCCTTGTGCCACTTGAGCGTATATTTCCTAATAGCAGCATGGATATGAAAACCATTTGTTCAAAGTTATGCTATGGTTCCTCCTGAATGCTTGTGGAAAGTGGTAGCCTCTTCACTTGCGGTGCACATACAGCGTTGCCAATTTTGTAATGCAAGCCAATATGGGGTAATATGGCCACCCCGATTTGGGGTAATACGGACACATCCTTGATGCCATGGTAGCACTGCACTGACCTATTGGTAGTGTCAGCTTCCTTTCATGTCGGATCTCAGGCTGCAAAGGAGCATCCAATGCGCTTCCTCTACATATGTCCATAGACGCACTGGACATCTGGACGAAATATGCAGTACGTGAGGAGGCGGTGCAGGGGGATATTGCACGTGCACCGCCTCTTAGACATCCGTTTGACATGCACCAGACATTTTTGCTGCATGAAATTTGAATGCAAGTAAATATTCCTCGTGCAATAAGTTAAAAGAGTATCCTGCACTTTCTTAGCATCACTGATATTTTGTAGGTTGATAACTTTAAACTGAGGGAGATACCCAAGGAACTGCCATTCATTTCGCAAAAAGCCCGTCACAGGTGTCCAGCAAGAAAAACAATGTCAACAATGTTATCGGACAAAAATGGGGTAAATACCGACTGATTTATACGAGCCTACAATCAATGCAGATGGACCCTGCAGAAACTCAAAAAAAAAAACCGGCCAGAGTCAGAATCGACCTCGCTTCATCTCACCATCTTACCACCGCCCAATGAAGAAAACGCCCTTCGGAGAACACATGCGGACGGAGATCCTGCGCATGCCACGAGTTGCCTCGTGAGCAGGAAACCGACTTTGACTCCAATTGCATCCATGCCTGTCGCGTGGGGGAAATGTATCGAATCGCGCTGGGATTTCGCCAGGACAGGAATTCTGCTGTGAAAGTAGGGTCCAACGTATCTCTGTAAGGACTGTACTAAGGATTCTGGCCGATTTTCACTTTCCCAGCAGTGGACAACCCATTCCTGGTTTTTTTTTTGTGGAATAGTATATTAAGACTGTAGTGTAATCAATAATATCGGTGGAGAACTCGAAATCGTTCGCGACGGAAGCCGATTCGAGGCAAATCGACGAAAATTTTTGGCCTCGAAAGTCGCGATGACCGCCGCCGTCTCGCTCCCTGCCTCCTTTTCAGGCGAAGACCAGGCGCGGAGCAGCGAGAGGGAGACAAGGTGAAAATACGCTCGCGAACCAGGGGATTCCTTGGGGAGCAGCCGGACTTCCGTTCCTTCCTTCGGTCGTGAGTATCACGCTCCGTTCTGACATAAATAATCTTAATGTCAACAAGCATCACGATGCCAGGAACACCTCCAAGAGACGGTGAGTCTGTGATTCAGTCTCCAACGACACTCAGAAACCTCATAGACACAGTCCGGTTTGCCAGGCATTCAAATTCATGAGTCAATACCTGCGTTTAGGCGACCCCCCCCCCCTCCCCCCCCTCCTCCCCCTCCC